CCTGCTGTGTTGGAGGTTTTGTTCAAGCCACAGCAATTGGAAAAGAGCGCTGCAGGATTTTCAGGGCAGGTTTTGTTGGACAGCAGTGCAGTGATGACAGATGGCTGGAGGCATTTGTAGAGGCTGGCTGCAGCCCGGCTTCCCAAAGTTGTGTATGTGCTCATTAGCGAGTGGTGCAGTGATAACCCTGACTGAGTAGGGGTGGCCCAAGCCAGGCCGGCCTGCTCTGCCAGCTCTGCTAGCAGGACTTTCAGCATCATTTGCCTTAATCACTTGCACACATCCACTTCAGTATTTTTAACAGTTGCGAGTATCCTGGATAAGGCTGGCAGGACTGTTGTGCTGGGGTGATGCTGTCCTACCATATGCCTTACTTTGGATGATCTGTTCCCTTGGCAGAGCCTGTATGTCCATGGCATTGCTGCCTGGCAGTCGTATATACCGCAATTGCCACCATGTAATATATACAGATATATGTGTGTTTGTGTATATATGCACACACAATTTGCAGAACCGAGCCTCCCTCTGCCCCACAGCAGCTGAGCTGCTTCAGACTTGACTCCTTACATAGTGGACAATGTGAGACTTGGACCGGCACAGTGATTTGAACCTTAGCTAGAGGATGGTAGATGTAATGCAAGGATTCGCCTTAATCCAGGTTACTAAAGGCTTCTCATTTCCCTGTGGTGGAGCTGTGCTTGTCAGGACTTCCAAGTCCCCTGCACATCCCAAGCAGCTTGCATCGCAGGCTCCTCCAGTCACGGGGACCTGAGGAGATTACCAAGCAGTCCACCTGGTAAGCTGGGAGAAATCCTGGGAATTGTGCCCGTGACATAGTGAGGGGTTGTCAAAATCTAGTATATTTTACAAAATGCTCATGTTTTGATGTTGTGGTTTAACCCCAGCCGGCAACTAAGCACTGCACAGCCACTTGCTCACTCCCCCCGGTGGGATCGGGGAGACAATTGGAAGAGTAAAAGTGAGAAAACGTGTGGGTTGAGATAAAGACAGTTTAATAGGTAAAGCAAAAGCTGCGCGCGCAAGCAAAGCAAAACCAGGAATTCATTCACTGCGTCCCACGGCAGGCAGGTGTTCAGCCACCTCCAGGAAAGCAGGGCTCCATCACGCGTAACGGTTACTTGGGAAGACAGGTACCATCACTGCGAACGTCCCCCTCTTCCTTCTTCTTCCCCCAGCTTTATATGCTGAGCATGACGTCATATGGTGTGGAATATCCCTTTGGTCAGTTGGGGTCAGCTGTCCCGGCTGTGTCCCCTCCCAACTTCTTGTGTACCCCCAACCTACTCGCTGGTGGGGTGGTGTGAGAGGCAGAAAAGGCCTTGACTGTGTGTAAGCACTGCTCAGCAGTAACGAAAACATCCCTGTGTTATCAACACTGTTTTCAGCACAAATCCAAAACATAGCCCCATGCTAGCTACTATGAAGAAAATTAACTCTATCCCAGCTGAAACCAGGACATTTGACAAGACATCTTTTTCTGACAATCGTATTTCATGAGCTAATTCCTAGCTCACTCTTCCTCCTACCCTTACCTATTGCTCTCTTGTCTGTACACTTGCCATCATAACGACCTATATCAAGAAACAGAGTAGGAGCTAATGCTGACAGTGTCAGCCCTAACTTAAATTTAAGTTACTGTCCTGCAGTGGCTGTTCTGTGGTTCTTTGTCTTCTCTTTTTTATAGTAAGTAGAACACCAGTTTCACGATGCTGGTATCATCAATACCAAACAAAAAGTTTGTAATGTAAACTGAGATGAGTTTGGAGGGGGATCCATAACTCTATCTCAGCTGTTCATCTTTATTTCTTGGGTGTGTTTTTCTTCTAGATCTGGAGTGAATTTGCAATGTTTGCCTTCATTCATTGAACTTTTTAGTTTATTTGTTTTGTTGAAAGCTACCTGTTGAATGAATGAAAAATCTTTGGAAGGGGAGCAGAGTCTGAATGGTAACAAAACAGTTTTGTTACTCACCTGTGGCTGTTCCTAGAATGTTTATACTGGTTCACCTGATTTGTGTAGAATTATCATGTGTTCTGAGTTTAATTAGCAAGGATGAAAAATTCATTGCCAGCCAACACATTTCAAAAAATGATCTCAAACTCCAGCGTACTGTGCGTTAGGTGGGCAGTGTTGTGGGGAACTTGGGATACATGCCTTCTGTTTCCAGGACTACCGGTGGCTTGCTGGAGAAGTCAGGAGAGTCACCTGGCTTTGGATAAGTTACCAGACTACCCACACCTCAGTTTCCTCTGCTGTAAAATGGGGATGACAATACTGTTATAAAACTCTTCAAGCCTGCTAAAGAAAGCATTTCATAGGAGTTTAATAATAATTATTGCTGCATCTACCTAAATGTTCTTTAGAATGATTTAAGAACAATTCTAAAGCATGAAGAATCTCAGTAGGTGATGCAGTTTAAAATTTAAGTAAATTATTTTGAAAAGGATGCTGAAAGGTAGAGCGCCAATTTGCCATCCTCCCAGGCACGGAAGTGAAGTCAGTGCACACTGCCGCATCATGCAGCATGAGCTGTAGCTGCATGTCCTGTGTAACTCCCCCACTACATTCAAATCATGTTCAAACCTGAGTGGTTTTCAGCAAGGTAAAAAAGAGATTTCATTTCTCCAATACTGAAGTCATCTGTGTGATTCATTTTGATTATTTCTGTTTAAAAGTAGATTCAATTTCTTCATAGTAAATGATTTTAAATCTAATTGTATTCCAAAGTAGTTCTTTACAAGGTGCATTTTCCAAGCCATTTCTTTTTGTTAATAATGTAGCTGCATTTGTATTTTATGATTATTTGAAGTAATTCTCTAATTTGTGAATCGTGACTGTATGAAAAGGCATTCTGGTAATTGTAGCTCACTTAGCAAACTTTTGGGTTTAGATTGTTAGAATACAGTAAATTCAATAAACCTCCAAACCTCAGCATTCCTTATCATCAATGCCATATTGACAACAATCAGTATGATTGTTTAGAGCATTGGGAATGCTTGCTTGTTTGACAGAGGTACGCTCATATATGAGCTCTGTGGATATATTTCTTCACAAAACCAACAGCAATAATTACACAACAGCATATTTAGTCTCTGCAATAAACACGGATTTTCAATTTTATGCTCTGTTGTTATTCTGTAACATAATTATGTATACAGCACTGCTGGTCTGTTGTATTTTTAGTTTGT